GACAATCACAAAGTTTGAAGAGAATTTACAATTTCCCATTCCCATTTGAGCAGCTCCATGACTGTCTTGATTATCTCGACTTCAGCACCAGGTTTACGACAATTCTTATGAGGCAACAGGCGAAAGCAATTAAAAGCATCAGGATCATGTTCAAATACACCAACTCGAATAGGTCGTCCAAGGGGTGATGGCATGTGCTGATGAATAATGTATCCTAAAGATATTGAAGATATGGATTATGTGATGGTTAGGAGGCAGAAATGCAATTAGCGCCAACATTTCAGCAGCCACTCGATTGTGAAGTGTTTGCTCTTTTACCCATTTAGGACTTACATTTCAGGTTATTATGCTTAGCTCCAATCGATTTAAGGATATTCAGAATCCTACTAAAATTGTGGACGACCAATATACCGTTTTTGAACGAATATGATTTGTTATACACTTCTTTCCTTGATCTGTATAATTAAAACTATGACATGAAATGCATTTTCTCTTCCACAAATCTTCTCTTTCGGATTTTTCATCATGTAACAGTTATTAGATTTTGTAGGATGATTTCAGGTTATAAACTATAGTTCCGGAGTTGCCTTTGTGACACCGGTGGTATTCTGCCACAATAAGTATTTAATTCTTGTTTGTGGATTTCCTAAAGAATTTTAGCAGTAAAGGCACCAATTAAGGAGCTCCTCGTTCTTTTATTTCTTTCGGAACATTTTCAAGAAACAATTTTAATCATTTATTCATAATTTCCATTGCACATAGTGTTACGCCCATTGAACAACCACTTTTCGAATGGAATATGTTTTAATATACTTTTTGAATTATTATTTTCTCTGTCATGTCTGCATGGTAATGTTACCACACATAGCATATGGTCAACCCTGAACCTTGAAATCGTCCTTTACTGTTGAGTTTTTTAAACTCCTTATCATTGGAGGTATAGATAAAATCTCCTGAAAAAAAGCCTTTAAGAAGTGAGATTTCGATAAGAGTAGAATTACAGTTACCTAATTTAGCCGTCACTCGAAGCTCTCTGAGTTCTTTTGTTGCCCCACAATTCTTCCCATTAACACAATAACCAACTTGTTCAAATTCATACCATCCACTTCCAATAAGACTTTCGAGCTCTGTCACTTTGGTGGTCAATTTCTGAGCGTCTGCAAAGGTTATTGTGGCTTTTTCTCAATAACTGTAGAGATTTCAGAGTGCCACCCACTTGCTTTTACATTCAGTGCACTGAGCAGAGGGGTTATCTGTGGGCAGCGACGATCGATTTCAGCTTTTTGCTGGTTGTACTCAATTACAGTGACCACACTACCTGGAGAACCTGAAAATTTTGCAGCAGGTGAACAATTCAAAACAAACCAATTCCTATGCCACTTACTCTCTTGACTGTAGCCATTGGAGAGAAACGTAGAAATTGGTCGGCTCATAGTGTGGAATCGATGCCTCTTTTCTTTTCTGCTGTAGAAGCGCTGAATTGGTGACACGTGTTGCATGAACCAGCTCTGGAACCAATATAAAGTTATTTAAAAGCGAAAAATTAACTACTTCAATTATCATTCTAAAATAAGAAGAGATTCGTTGACTAACGAATAAACTTCCCTACTCACGTTTTCTCCGGGACTGTTGCTGTTGGGAGGCCTAAAAGTAGTTGCTAAAATCTGAGATAATAAGAATCTTGATTTTTTATTAATATATGCCACAATGTTCACAAAAAGTCAATAAACTTTGGTAACTTGTGTGATTAACATAGTTACCCACTTGTTGGAAATATCGCCTGCACCCCCACTGCCATTCCATTCCCCACCAACGTTGCCTGCGCCACCGGGAAGGTTGCCTCCTCCGACGGGAGGGCTACCTCCTCCGACGGGAGGGTTACCTCCTCCGACGGGAGAGCTACCTCCTCCAACAGGAGGGTTATCTCCCCCGACGGGAAGATTAACTCCGCCGAAAGGAGGACTGCTGCCACCTTGTCCAACTTCAATCCATCGAATGTTGCCTTGATTTCCTCCCCAAACGGCACCTTGCCTTCCTCCAAAGTTAGGGTCACGCTCATCATCATACCATCCATCCCATCCTTGACCATTCGAAGGTCCAAATTGGCCTAGACAGCATATTTAGGAAGGATATATTTTTAAAGAGTTTCTACCTGGAACTGGTTGGAGGATAATAAATTGTCCACCCCCGCTAGTCCCTGTATTGGTTGATGGAAGTGGGTTTGGAGTCTGACATTGAATATTACGCAATAAATATTCATATAAGAATAGACCTGATATTTCCTACTTCTGGGTTTGTCCCGGGAGGACCACTAAACGCAGTTGCAACTAGAGCTGAAAGCTTGAAATAGGCAAATTATCTAAGGAAACAAACAAACACTTACCGACAAACAAGGCATAGTAAAAGTGCATTTTAGGTGGCCAGATGCTAAATACTTTTATGCCTGAAACAGAGTAGCTGACGATTTCAAAGTTTGGAAAAATCTACGACTTAGACTAGAACTGCGAAAAGAATATCGTTCCAGCATGCATTAAAGGATTTGCACAAGCTGATTGCAAATTGAGTAAGATTTGCTTGAAATAAATAGTAGATCCGATGCATTTCTTCCTCTCATTGGAAATTTAATTTTGTGCGCAATTGGGAAAAGTTCTCTTGATTGAGGGAATATATTTTTCACTGAGAGCAGTTACGATTGGCTAGATATAATCACTATGAGAATGAGCGAATTGTAGACTAAATTGCGAAGAAAACAGATAAAAGTCTCTTTGCCTTGCAAATTTCGCGTTAAAAACTGTATGCTGTGAATTAGTCATTTTTACAATATGTGACGGAAATGTATAGATGGCAGCCTTTTCGACGAAAAGGAGGGTTGTATTTTGAAAGTATATTAGTAATCCCCGCATTAATACACGTAAAAGAAATCATATGAAACTATCAACTCTT